AAAAATATATATAAATGAAATAATTAGCTGAGAGTATTCCTGTTGCACACAGTGCTTCTTCCCTTCCTTCATAAATTGAATTATTTGTCCCGTAGTGTAGCCAATTAGATGAAGTCTTTTTAGAGTGTAGGTCCGTTCAACAGGGAGCATAATTTATTTCCTTTCCGTTGAGATTGGTTCATAAATGAAAAAGGACAAATGCATCATATCTAAACATAGGCTTCTTTTCTTTCTTATCGGAGAGATTGATATCCTAGAACCGACTCTCCAGCTGTTTGATAGTAACATTGATACAGCTTCACACATCTCTTTAAACTGCTAGGCTACGTTCTCATGTTTGTAGAAGAATGTGGGGGCCAAGATTTAAACTGAGTGAAATGAAAGGACCTATTCAACAGGATGAAAAACTTGAACACTCCAAAACCAAGTCAAGTTCAAGAACACCCAGTCGGGTATTCGAATGAGTATAGCCAGCCACGCTTTTTACTGAGCCAACAGAGCCCCTACCCGTCAAGAAATATCACTTTCGATCTTAGCGGACAGAGGCCGTCACGTGATTTTGTATATAAATAGATTGCAAACGTTCATTTAGTACATTGCTTTTCCTCAGGTTCCTGTACATAAAAGCCTAGACGTCCTTAGTGAGCTCGCTTAGAAGAAGACAATAGGCAAAACGTTATTTTAAGTATACAAAGGAGTGGCAAGTAAATGGACTTTAAAGAAAGAGAACATTCCTTTGCAATGTATCAATACGTGCCAATGTATCACTGGGAAAGAGAATGTAATTTTGCTAATCTCAGATAACGCCTTCCTTGGTGTTCACAAATTAAATGGCGAAAAGGTGTAGCGCTTAAATGGAATATTTACATAGTGCGGAAGCAAAAACATCGATCTCACACAAGTTCACGAGACAACAGCACAATACAACACATTATAATTGGCTGTGTTCCTTTTCTTTGTTTTATTTTTGTACACTCCCAACACAACAGTTAGCAGACACGCAAGCGCAGAGGGGATGGATTCTCAAATACGTTTAGTCAATATTTGGAGATCCCACGAAAACAATCTTGTCATTACAGCAGAAATAGAGCACAGTGTACTTAGGGGGGATATTTACGTATTGCTGAGCAACACGCTGAACTGCCACGAAGAGACAAGAAAGAAAAACAAGTGAAGTTTCAGTCGGGGTTCATTCGGGTGCCAAGCCAAATTTTACAACTACTTGTATTACCCAAATACATACATCAAACTGAGTGTTTTCGCGCCAAGTTCCAACACGAATAAGATCTCAAGCCATTTGTAGTATATTACGATGTTTGAATAATCCCTTGCTCGTTAACCTTTGTCAAATTCTCTCTTATTTTACCACTCTCCACCCAATTAAAAAAAATACATGAAGACGATGAAACTCCCAACCAGATCGTCCCACTAACTGAATACTAACTGTCATTCCCGTATTCACCAAGCTTCAAAGCTCCGCGGTCGGGAAGAAAATATCCCTCTGAGGAATGTACGATTTCACCTAAACACAGCAAGCTACGCCCCCTTTTCCTACCCATGAAAAGGGTGTATAAAAGAAAAGGAAACTGCTTACACGATTGCAAAACTGTCGTAATTTTTCTTCAAACCAAAGCTCATTACTTTTTTAAAGCTGAAAGACCACAATACAGAGCAGCGTGCCTAGAGTTTTCAACAGTCGTGTGTTGTGTAGTGTTCCTTTATTTTTACAGTACTTGATCAAAGTCCACTGGTCAGTTGATAGAAAAAAAAGACAGGTTGTAAGGTATATTTTTATCTGCGTTAAAGATATCAAGGGCAGACGTTTTGGTCTCTTTGGGTTGGGTATCATTAAAGAGATAACAAACGTCTTTGGCCAGGTAATGGCACACAGTTGCCCTGCCACTCACAGACAATATGAACATAAGTAGGTTACAATTCCAAATTCACCGTGAACATTTTCCAGTTCACTGCTTAAATCCGTTTTCTCAGGAGTATTGAATTTCCTGCCTTCTGCCTTTGACTTCTGAAGGGCAGAGTGCGCTGTTTCTTCTAATCAGTCTGTCCTCTGTAAGTTGTAAGGAACAATTTGCGCTCAGTACAGAGGCTGGTACGAGTCGATGGGCCCGCCTCTCTGTATCTGTCTCTGTCTCAGAAACTGGCGTTGTTGCCACGCCCTCTCCCGCTCCTCTTCTTCCTCTTCCTCTTCCGCTAGCTCCTGAACCAAGAACAGCAGCTCATCTGGGTCCATATCGCGGATTGCCTGGAGATAAACACACAGAATACGGACATCTGGGTTGTAGCCATACCTTTTAATATAAGCATAATACAAAGTGAAACGTTGACAGCAATTTGCTGCTGCTGCTGCTGTTGTTGTTGTTGTTGTTGTTGTTGTGTTGTTGTTGTTGTTGTGTTGTTGTTGTTGTTGTTGTTGTAGTAGTTGTTGTTGTTGTTGTTGTTGTTGTTGTTGTTGTTGTTGTTGTTCTTCTTCTTCTTCTTCTTCTTCTTCTTCTTCTTTTTCTTCTTCTTCTTCTTCTTCTTCTTCTTCTTCTTCTTCTTCTTCTTCTTCTTCTGCAGATTATTGCCTTTACACGTAGCATCTCCCAGTAGGTGCCATGCAGTATATTTGAGACGTCTGATGATCAGAATTGAGAGAGGGTCTAGAAATCTTTTTCCTCCCAAACAGAGATAAGTTTATTGAACGAGTCTTTTTATGATAATTTTTAAAAACTGAAATGTACCCTTTGTTCTTCTAGTCCATTTGGATCTTTCTTCTACTTCAGTGTTATCATCATTCACTTATCATTCACTTCGTGAATAGTGAATGATTCACACAGGTGTGTTATTACAGGCATAGATGGAAGCCAACCTCAAATTCTCTTTTTCCTGTTTGGTAAGTAGTTAAAGTTCTATTGAGCACAGTGGCGACCGACAATGGCATGGTTGTAAACTGTTCTGTACTTGTGTAACATTGTGTACTTATGTATGTATTTGTGCATGTATTTATGTATGTACGTATTTTAAATTATGTATATATGTATGTATGTGTATGTATGTTTGCATTGTGAATCAAAGTGCCCTTCTGGGACAAATAACAGTGTAATTTATTTATTTATGTTTTATTATTCATGTAACACCCGGGTCACTCACCGTTTCTACGACGTCATCAACACTGGAGTCCTCAAACTCTCCAGGCATTCCCGCCATTTGCTGCGACTCAGGGTACCAGGGAGTGGTGCCGTTACGGACTAGGAGCTTTTCTGGGCCGGGGATCACGCTGTGGGGAAATGGGTCAACAAAGGACACGCCAGATTAGTTTGTGGTTGAGCCTGATTCCTTCTTTCATGATTGACTTTCACTGTTTGACGTTTCTAAAGGCTTGACTGAGAAACTTTTAATAAAAAGTGGGCTGCTTCGAACCTGCCTCTCATGGTTATACTATTTAAAAGAACGGAGACGAAAGCCACAAAAAGGTGTACGAAAAACATCTAATCTTTCTCTCGAGAACTCCCTCTTGGAAGTAACATGAAGACGTTATAGAAAGACAGGTCCTCTACCATGCCAATGAAAGGAGGCATGTTTGAGTAATTTCATTTGAACGGAAACACAGAAATGCTCAACGAAATGCTCTTTGTTTTAAAACCCACTCGCAGAGGGCATGATGATACAGAGGCGATGTGGATGATACTCTACGTGCTCACGAGAAGTCAACCACCATAGTTATGTAACGCGTGGCGTCCATATCGGCCCATGGAAATTCAAAGCGTAGCAGGCAAACCCAAGTCAAAGGTATAGTACTTCAGACCCAGACTCATATCGGTGACCTGTCTTGGCTTTTAAAATGGGCAGAAAGAACAAAGGAGACTGACAACATTTTAATTGCTTTAAATAAGATAATATGAAATACATCTTTATTGTTTAGATCTTGGCACATTGAGAGAAGCAATGCAATCTTTCTAAGGTGAACTCGACCCGAAAGACTGAAAGCTGCAACGGAAGGCTGAAGTGCCTGCGGAGACATGACGTATACCCCATTCGTTTGTTTTTCTTAATACATGTATAGAGAAAATCATAACAATTCAATAACTTGCTGCCCAAGGAATCAAAAGAAGGGGGGGGGGGGTGTCTCGAGGCCTCTTATCCAATAGGTCCTGAGTTCGAATCCGGATAGCGACGGAAAAGTTTCTTCTCTAAAAATTTCTCTTTTCATCTCCTTTCCTGCTCTCTAACAATGTTGTTTCTCCACTTTCTGCCCCCACCCCATCATCTCCTTTGCCCACTCCTCTGTGCTCCTGACTCTTTCTCCAACCTTTCTACTGCTCTTCTTTCGGCCCTTCTTAGTGATGTCTTTCAGCCACACCCCTGATCTTATGGTAGGTGAGATCTACACCTAGCCATCTCGGATAAGGGTGAAAAATTCTTGGAGGTTTCGTGTGCAAGTTGTGCATGTTAAAGAACCTTTGGTCCAAAACCGATAAGAGTAGGCGTCAGCCGCCACCCTGGTAAAATTCAAAAATCCCTACCAACTGAAAATGTTTAATGTGTCCTTTGCGCCCATTTGATCTTATGCAGTTGCGAGCGCCTTGAAACACTAACACCCACCCCCCTAAAAACACAAAAAGAGAGAAAAAAAGGAAAACCAAGAAAGTGGTATGATAGACCCTAATAGGACAACGAGGAAAGTAAAGTAAAGAGCCGTAGATGTCTTCTTGAGCGTATGTATGAGTGCACCTAACCTTTGTAACGTCTACTGCCATTGTTAACGACCAACACACATTTCTCCCAGCGAGATGAATAAAGATTGTCATTGTCATTGTCATTGCCATGTTTTAATGAAATATGGGAGCACAGAACGTTTCAGAAGCTGTTTATATAACGTGTCCCACCGAGTCTCACCTGGCAGTGTCGGGCACGTTGTCCACGTTGATGGCCTCCTGGTCCGGGTAGTCTGTCCAGAACCAATAGGGCGGGCCGGGCTTGAAGCAGGTGTGCTGGGAGAGGATGGGAGGCTTGTTCACGTAGTACATCACGTAGAAGTTACACATCTCGTCCTTCTGAGTGGCACTGTGAGGGGAAAAAAGGGGTAGACGTCAGATGATCAGAATTGAGAGAGGGTCTAGAAATCGGTTTCCTCCAAAACAGAGATACGTTTATTGAACGAGTCTTTTTGCTTTATAAGTCTTTATAAGTCTTTTTAAGGGTTGCGAGTAGACTTAGATATATGTTACACAGCTTAGTTTCGAAGAACGTTAACATAACAAGACAACTACATCCTTATCTAGTTTGTACGTCCCGCCCCCTTATAAAAAGGATAAAATTTGAGAAAAGACAACAATCCACCCATCTCAAGAAACCGAAATTCAAGAATAATCAATCAGAAATTCGAACCTTGGTCGCTCTCACCACAGCCCCGGGTAACTCTAAGAAGGGAAAGAAAGCTATCCCTTTGTTTATTTTTACTATTAATATATCTTTTAAAGTAGATACTTACCCCTGGCGCTCATATGGCCTTATGCAGTTGCGAGCGCCGTAAAACCCTCTACTATATTTAAAGAAAAACACACTTACCCAATAGCTACCTCGTGGTCGAGACCATTCTCCATGGTACACCGGGCAGCCTAAAGAAGAAAAGACAATATGGAAGTGTTATGTTTATATCAGATACGAGTGAGAGCGTAAATGAATGACTGTGAGTATTAGGAAGTGAATAGGTGAGGCGGTGAGTGGAAGAGGGAGTGAACATGCACGGAAGTGAGTATTAAAGATGTGCATAATGCAGCAAAATATCGCCAAGGTAAAACAAGAACTTAGAAAGTGTAAAAAAAGATGAAATCATAACAAAAGCGACAAGAATGGCATTTTGTAAAATAGGGCACAGACAAGAAGTTCAAGAGATTGAAGAGAATAAGACGTAAGTAAGAGAGAAAACGTCAGAAAAATTAAACAAGAAAAAGTAGAGAATAGTTGCTCTGTTCATGAAATTTCACGACCTTCTGGCCACAAATAATATTAAAAAACCGAATAGAACAATACAAATACAAACTGCTTGGCCTTCTGATGGCAATACTGTGACAGAAGATATTCTTGGAACGTGAGAATGACGATAACAATTTAGACGTATTTTAAGCAGAGTCTGACAAAAGTCAGGATAATATGAGACAGAAACAGTGCAAGAAAAATGAGATAAATTAGGCCTTGCATAAGAGAAGAAGGATATGAGGGTGGAAAATTGAGACTGAGATAACGAGTAATAGAATATTATAGAAACTGAGATTGGGAAATGACATGGTTGAGGCAAGAAAGATATTATTACGCTTTAAGTAAACTATTAGCTACCACTTACCAGAATATCTCCTTTCTTGATCGTCAAACCCTGGGTGGTCACATTGTAGAACATCTGTGGGTACAAACAGGGCAAGATTTTCATGAAGTTGGAAAGGTAAAACACGAACACAGATCAACCAATTAGTCAGGTCTTAGTTATGTGTTTATGATAAGTGGGATCATATTGCATAGCTTACAAGCCCCCTCCCCCCCCCCCTATTTAATGTACACAAAAAGGAAAAAATGCATTCTTGTTCAGATTTCCACATCTCTGTGGAAAAGTTGGGTTTTTTTCAGCACAACATTTTTGTTCCTGATATAGCTTACAGACACCTGACCCCATACACATTAGTGGTGTTATTTTTCTATTTGCCAATTCAGTCTTCGCGTCGACAGTGTTTCTTCTATCATAAGGTTTTTGATGTGCCGTTTCGTGTTCACGCCATATTAGCGTACTTTTGTTTATTTGTTTTATTAAAAGTCTTGCGGCGCTCCCACCTGAATAAGGTCATATGACCGCGCGGACTCGAGTTGTTTGTTATCACGTTTAATGTTCACAGCACGACTTGGGTGAACTTTATGGGTTAGAATTTAAATATTCATGATAAAACGTTACTCAATGTGGTAAAGATATGGGGGTAATGAAAGGTGGTGATGATACGTTCGGTTTTGGGCAATGGATCAACGAAACGGAGCTTAGAAACTAATCTTGGAATTTTTTTACTCTTCATTCAGAGAGGGTGGAAGATACACACAAACAAATACACACACACACACACGCACGCACACACACACACACACAAACATACTTACACACTTACAAAAACTCTCACATACATCACACACACCCATGCATACTCACATACCCACACAAAAATATAAATACATGTACAAAATTATTGACGAGATACCTCGGGCAGTCTCGGGTCTTTCCGGCCAATCTCGGCCCACTCTCCGTCACGAACTCGGTAGCCAGAGATGACTCGGCCTGGGGGGAGAGAAAACAAGGTTTAAGGCAAGGTCGTGAGTTCAAAACTGAAGTTAGAAATACGCTGTCAGATTCACCCGGAAATTTGCTCTTTCCTCCCCTTTGGCGACGCTCTCCTTACATCCCAGCCCCAACCTGAACCACAACCCCTCACCATGTTCGGGCTCACCCCCCCCCCCCCCACTCCATAATTCCGTCACCTTCCACCATCCACCGTATAAATCTAACCCCACCGTCATACGTGTATCTATTTTGTCGTTCAATGTTACAGTTTTAAAAAAATAATCAAATGACTGGAATAACATACACTGCCTTAAGAAATGAAAATTAACAACGCACTTCCGCTACCTCAGAATTACAAAGTTGTATCTTACATTTTTTGCGGTTTTGAGTTGCTAAGACCATGAGGTAGGAAAATGAAATTATGTTCTATCTCGTCTATTAAAATCGAAAGATTATTCAGTCTTTAAGAAGATATTCAAAGAATTGCATTCGAAAAATCTTGACATGTTGTGAAACTTAACATTTTTTACGTCAAATCTCTCAAAACTAGGTACTGAGCAGATAGAACTTAGTGATTTTAGCGTAGCGAATTAATTGAATAAGTGCTCAATCTCGTGTCTTGGATACTCTGGTACTGTAGTTAAAACGTACACGACCTCGGAACACGATACAGGGAACCCGTTCGATATTTGTGTCAGAACATAGTTGAAACAGGCGCTCGGATTTGTTGGTATCATGTTGGCTTGATGATACTTTGTCTTTCTTTCGATGAACAAAAAAAAAAAAAAAATCCATCTTGGATAGAAGTTGAGATATTTGCGATGGGAGGAGGTGGGGGTCGCTAAGAGTCAGAGGTAACATTAGGGAGAAGATGGCCGCAAAAGTTTGTTTAATTCCAAGCTTGAGTATCCATAGAAACCGCAAATTAACCTTTTGTGTGCCTCTGATTTACGTTTTTCCAGTAAAATCCATAGATTATAAATGAGTTTTTAAATGGATATAAACGGGGTTGAGCTCTCACCCCCCCTCCCCCTCTACCAAAAAAAAGAAAGAAAAATAAAACCTATAAAGACTGCCAAACCACCGGGAAAATGTCGTTTTTTTTCTAGTTCATTATTTTGACGAGCACATTATTTCACCACGACGCCACACATTTATGTATTTCCTGTTAATCAACATCAGCTAGGAGAGTTAGAGCTGTCGTGACTGAGAGAATTGTAATGATGAAAGTAGAATACTCTCAGTACTCTCAGAATTAAGGGGAGATGAAGGGAAAGTGTGTGTGTGGGGGGGGGGGGCAGAGAGATGATTGAGTAAATAATTTACGACTTTTGTAGAGTACATCGACTAGAGAACAGTCCTTATGTGCTTGGCAAGACAAACAGAATCTCTGAAGCAATGAAAAATAGATAGTTGCTCATTCCAACCACTGAATTAAACTAATTGATTGCTCTTAATTAGTATTGTTTTTGTATTTTAAGTTTGAATACGAGATAAATGGAACTTTGTGTTTTGTTTTGTGTCTTTGAATTGTCTTGTTAATCTCATATAAATTACTGTTGCTTTATAACTTTTGTTACAATTCCCGAAGGCATAATGCCATTTGATTGGTACACAAACGTGTATTTGGGATGCTTACTTTATCCTTTAAATCTCATATACCTTTCTTAATGTTACTAATTTAGACTACTCATCTCTTTTAAAGTTTAGCTATAAATGATACAGTACTTAACATAAGTGTCACCCTGATGTCATTCATCACACGAGAGAACCACAGGATGGGCAACCCTCTATCCCGATCCTTTGCGGAATGCGTATGGGTGAAAATACGGCGTTTAATGACACGAAAACACGCAACGTGCGAATGATCTTCCGATGCATGCTTGCTCGTTAATAAATGGAAAAGTACCCATTCAAACGTTCACAACCGCCTTCAAGATTATTGGGTTTCTGCACTCCTAAAAGTGACGTATTATTTTAGTATCACTTGTTCGCTTAAATTAAATAATTGTGGGTCCATCTACCCGACAACATATATTGTGTTCCATGTTTCATTTCTGTCCTTCTCCACGTATTTCAATTTGTTCCCTTGTTACCTATTCGTAATAGCTTTTATTGCACTTACAAAATCCCAGTTCCACGAACTGGACAATTTCTAATTATCACTGAAGAATTGCAGACTGTATATATATACATATAAACATTCCCCCACCCCCTCTGTTACATTTGATTCATGAAATAATGTCACTTTCTCTCTTTCCGTGTTTCTGACCCACTCTTTTTTATCAATCTCTGTCTCTATCTTTTCCCTCCTCTCTCTCTGTGTCAGTCTTCTCTCTCTCAACATCAAGACAAAAACAATCCTTCTGGGCATGAAACCAAATCCCGGTCTCCCAACTGATTGGCAAGAATACTTCCACTGAAGATTCTATCTATCGATGCAAACTTACAGATTTTAGCCATGTTATGAAATGGAATAACATGAATCTCAGCGTGTGCACGCCAAGGACACGTTAGGCAGCTGTGAATCGAGGAGCGGGGAAAGTGATTTGTACCGTAAATTAACGTGTCATCCCGAGAAAACGTTCTTTCAGAGATATCAGAAAATTTTAACATTATTACATTTTGGGTTCAGAGCCTATAGATAAAATAAATTTAGAGTTAGCTTTATTAGTATAATATAAATAGTATATAAAGAGAAGTCAGTTTCGATTTCTGGAATAAATAGAATACATTAGAGTCCTATAACGTGTCTGTCCCAACACAACATTTCATGCGCAGCACATTGGCCTGGCGCAAACTTTTAGTTTAGTTTTAGTAGAGGTTTTACGGAGCTCGCAACTGCATACGGTCATATGAGCGCCAGAAGATTAGAGGAGTTACAAGAGAGTAACAAACATAAAAAAGAAAAAGGGGAGATAAGAACGATAGACATTTCATAGGAAAGAAGAAGCAAACCACACCAAAGCACCCGCCAACCACCCACTAACGGAAACTTGGAACACCCACATGCACTAAAAGAACCAATAACCAAGGTGTAAGACGGAAAAATGTTGAAATCGTGACGTGGCATACTGCTATAATACATACCTAGAGAGTGGGCGTGAGTCCTGAAAGCAAATGGCACGATCTCAATGTTCTCTTGGAAGGGACAGGCAGTTTCGAAATAATCTGTGAACAGTGAGCAAGTCATGCTAAGCGAATGAAAACACATTTCTCGAATCAACAAAGGGCTGACGATTCGTAGTCAAAATGTGGGTGTAAACACTGTACTTTTTTGTGGTAAGTGTTTTACTGTATAAGGTCATATGAGCGCGCGGGACACACCAAACATTTTCAGTTGGTAGGAACTTTTGAATTTTGTCCGGGTGGCGGCCGAAGCCTACTATAATTGATTTTGGGCCACCAAGGGATCTTTAACGTGCGCAACTTGCACACGGGACCTCCTAGATTTGCCTTTATCCGTGAAGGCTAGGTGCAGATCTTGACTACCATAAGATCAGGGGTGAGGCTGACAGACAGCAGTAAGAAGGAGCTAAGGAGAAGCAGTAGAAAGGCTGCAGAAAGAGCCTGGAGCCCAGAGAAGAGGGCAAAGGAGGTGAGGGGGTGCGGGCAGAAAATGAAGACGAAAGAAGACGACAGAACTTTATTAGGGAGCAGAAAAGGATGTGACAGCAGAAAATTTGAGAGAAGAAGATTTTCCGTCGCTACCAGGAATCAAACCCTGGACCTTTGGATGAGAGGCGAACACCTTAACCTCTGAGCCACGAGAGCCCCCTAAATACTGTACAAAAACATACAAAAATATTTAGCTACAAAAGAAAACTTTCATGAAAATACGCAATGAAGTACAAAGTAATAAGCCTTACATTGAAAAGCTGTTCGAATGTTTACTAAAGTAAGCCATATTCAGATAATTTATTAATGTCATTAAAAATTACAAAGAAATAAGCAGTTAAAATTCTTTTGGCTCTTTTTTTTCAAATGAAACCATTTTATTATTGATATTATTTTCAAAACGAAGCTTTTAAATGATTAACGATATTTTCACTTAAGTTTTCCTTTCTTCAGACGCTGACTTCTCTAAGTGATTAACCATAATTTCTTTACCTCCTTACGAAAGGACCGTAAGGTTTTGAGGGAGATAAAAGACATTACATGACTATAATTAAGAAGTTTTCAAATTGGGACCTACCGACTGTGTGTGGTGCAATGTAGCCACCAGTGACCATCAGGTAGACACCTGCTTGCTTTTTTGTCCTGATAAAGAAACAGTAATTGTAAAGATTGACGTAGACCTTTACATGAAATGGTGAAAGGTAGAGCAGGTGAAACAAAGAACAGACTAAAAGACGCTAAGAAATAGATTTTTTCACACCAAGCCTGGCAACTTCCGTTTCGACATTATGGTGCTTTGGCAAAGCAGCAGTGAAGAACCTTATCTCTTAACAACGTTCATGGGGCAGCAAGAGGCACATCTTACACAATTCAAATTACTGTAGGCTATATATTAAATGTTAAATTTTAATTAGGCCTGTCAGGAAGATCTTTTGAAAGAACAAAACAAAAAGGTTAGTTACATTACAAATTTGGCTTAAAAAGATGGGAAAACTGAGAAGCGAAAATTAACTGCTCATTAGTCTTGTCATAATCTTTGTTTCAAGCGCACACACACAGACATTCACACACGTATATATAGGCACTCATACCTACCCCCCCCCCCATACACACACGCACGCGGACACATATACATACAAAAACACAAATACGTATTTTCACGCCGGAGCGTAATCCCACACACACATACACACACACACACACACACACACACACACACACACACACACACACACACACACATACACACACACAAACACACGCACACTAACCCAAAACAAGTTATTTTTTAAATCTTTTCTTTTCCCGACGCGTTGTCATGACGATAGATAACATTTAATCCGGCTCAACAGTAAGCTCTATGCGCTTTACAATCAGTATTATTACTCTAGCAGACCTGGCGACATTCTCAAACAATCTCAACTTCATGGGAATCACACAGTACAAAGATACTAACATACTAGCAAGATCTTTCGGTGCCCATGGCAGGATACCCATTCTCACCTGGCTTAAGTGAGGAATATTAAGTACATTTCCTAAGGATACCACATCGGGCCTGAGGCTCGAACCCCCAAACCCGCAACCTCATGACTGTGAGTCCGTTAGCCTAACCACTAGACTACCAACGCCACAATTGTTCAAAGTTCGATTTCCGAGAAGGGAGAATTTTTAATTTTTATAGAGCATCTCGGTCTTTCTGCTGAGACGTAGTATCCTTCTCGGCTTTCGTTGACTCTGACAGGCAAGGTCGAAGTCCGCCACTTAAATAATCTAAACTGAGTCTAAAATGCATACATTTAGAAGAAAGAAAAAAACAAACAAGATAGACAATATGACACTTACGGCACTTTAGTCGTCTCCAAGGAGAGTCCGGAATTGTCCTCCCCGTTCTCTGTGAAAATAATGCAATATTAATTATTATAATACTCATTACTAGTAATGCTACACAAAGCAATACTTTGAGAATAGCCCATTGCAGGGTATTTCTAATGCTATGAGAGAGTGGGAAACTGGAAACCGTGGATACTCTAATGTCAGCGCTCTTCCGATAGCATTCCAATGTAGACACATGGATAGATTGCAATTTCACCCTTCCCACCTAAAACATCTTAAACTCCTGTCTCTTTCCCTCCTATCCCTCCCCCCTCTCTCTCCCTTTCCCTCTCCCTCCCTCTGTCCTTCTGTCTCTCCTCTCTGTCTGTATGACTCTCTGCCTGTTTGTCTATCTGTTCTCTCCCCCCCCCCCCCCCCCCCATTCTCTCTCTGCCTCTCTCTTCGCCTCTCCTCACTGTCTGTATATCCCTCTGTTTGCCTGTTTGCCAATATGTTCTGTCCCCCCCCCCTTTTCTCTCTCTCTCTCTCTCTCTCTCTCTCTCACTCTCTCTCTCTCTCTCTCTCTCTCTCTCTCTCTCTCTCTCTCTCTCTCTCTCTCTCTCTCTCTCTCTCTCAATGATACGCAAATCATTTTTTTTGCTTAAAAATGCCCATAACCAGGCACAAATTGGAACTGAAAACCTAGCTTCCGCTACAAAGTGCTACACGTACTAAGTCGCTTTGGCTATGAACTGGAAGACTTAGGAGAGTATTCCCTCACTACTCACACACTAATCCTTACATGAAATTCGGATCAAAGGGGATACTTTGTCTATTGTTCCACTTTGGAAAGCCATCAATGGTTCGACTGTGTTCCCTGTCCGGTCTGCAATATAGTTTTATCCTTCATTTAACTCTAAGCCCTAAATACTGATTGCAAAAACAATGAGAAACCCCCTCCCACCCCTATTTGTCCACACTACACGTAATCACAATCTATGTACACCACTAGAATAAGGGAATGAACATGAACCACCGCCTGGGGGGAGGGGGGAGTTGACTAATAGTTGCTTAGTACGAGCTCTTTTTTAAGCAGGTCTGGTTACGTTCTTTGATGCAGTTCCAAAATTCAGAGACTTAAAACAATTATACCATTCCCACAAGAAAAAACTGCCCCATTGCGAAGGTATAAATAATCCAGGGCCCTGTTAAACTGTGATTAGTGTACCTTGAGTTCAGGGAGATAGTGATTTTACGCCCCATTCTATTAATCAAAGTTGCCAAAGAGGACAGAACTATCCATATTACAAAGATCAAAACCATGAAATTAAAATATCCAAATCGAATGTATTGTGAAGTCTACAAAAATTAATTGCAAAGGAGAATGGTGAGCAGAGAATAAACAAAATGTTCTCAAGAAAACTAAAAGACAAGGAAAGGCGTTTTTTTGTTTGATTTAGTTTTAGTAAGAGTTTTGCGCACTTGTAACACAACTATATCATACGAGTGCCGAAGTTTTGAGGTGCTTCTAGACAGAAACATACCAATAAAAGAAGGAGGAGAGACAGGGATAGCAATAAATGCTTAATAGGGAAGAAAGAGCAAACCACACCACAGCACCCGCCAACCACCTACAAGGTGGGTTTACATGACGACTTACGAGGGGCCAGGAACTTGGTCACATTCTTGTAGTGGACTTGCACCACCAGATACTTGATGTCGGTGTCCTGGCCCACGTCAAAGCCAACGTCTGAAATAAAAAGCAAAAAATGAACAAATTAATAAATGAAGACAAAATGAATAAGTCAATTTAAGAAACACGGATTCGTTATGGAGATACACGAATAACAACTATGGCGTTCAACCCATCTTTGCCATTATGTCGAAAGAACTACCCCCTCCCCCACCCCCCACCCAAAAAAAAAAGAAAAAGAAAAAGAAGAGGAAACACCAACAAACAGCTGGGGTGATAACAACAAAATAACAGCTGTAGTAAAATATGTGTGTGTGTGTGTGTGTGTGTGTGTGTGTGTGTGTGTGTACGTGTACGTGCGTGTGTATGTGCGTTTGCGTGTGTGTATGCGTGTGTGTGCGTGTGGGTGTGCATGTGCGTGTATATATATATATTTAAAAAAAAAATATATGTGTGTGTGTATGTGTGAAAGTGTGTGTGTGTGTGTGTGTGTGTGTGTGTGTGTGTGTGTGTGTGTGTGTGTGTGTGTGTGTGTGTGTTTGTGTGCTCG